AATGTCATCCACGTGGTGCTGGTTTTAAACACATACAAAATACAAAAGTTCTAAAGTTAAAAAGGCTTCCACCTCAATTTCAAAAAAAGGCCTAAGATGCCAAACAGTGTGTCCCTAAAAACATATGTATATATAAAGTTATAAATATAAAACAAAAAATATAATAAATACCTCAAATGTTTAAAAAAGTAAAAAACATAAATTGTCTAAAAAGGACTACAGAAATACCCAAACTGGCCCCCCCCCGAAAAGGCATAAAAGCTATAACCACCAAAAATAACATAAAAATATAGTCATACTCATGTGTGTAAGATATAGTTCCTTCTAAATGGAAATAATCTCTTTTTCATTTCTCTTTTTTTCTAGCCTGGAGTTAAGAAAGAGAAACCATATAGTCTTTCAGTGGGGGTAAGATTTTTCCTAACTACTCATTCTTGCTGAAAGCATTGAGTTTTGCATAGTTTTGCTTTACTTGAGTTGTCAGTCCCAATTTTTGTTAATTTTTTATGGTTTGAGAATTTTCTCTTTAGAAAGTACATAGTCTTTAAAATGGGAGGCTTTAGGTTCCATGTGAAATAGAAGATGCCTATGATTAGAATCTTCATCTTTTTTAGTTGTTTTTTTATTATGTGTTTTTTATTACATATTTGCAATACATAATGATTACATTTATCATGAGGTGTTTATACATATACATAACAGTGGGTTACAGTTCTGGAGAACAGTTAATTGTTTTTTGTTCCCTTCCTCTCACATCCCTCCCCTCTCCCTCTAACTCTTGATCCCCTTTCCATTTGAAAAGCTCTATTTCCATTTTATTTTCTGATTCTCTCTTTTAAAAAATCTTTTTCCTCTTACTTCCCTCCCTCCATCTCTTGTTCTCCTTCACATTTGAAAAAGATCTCCTCAAAATGGTCCTTTTCTACCCATCTGTTTGTCTGTCTTGAGTTATGTTTGTACATGTAATGTCAAGTTGATTCTTTACTCAATCATAAGGATAATTTAAAACAAAATTACTTGTACCACTTGAATACCTGTGATTTTTGGTTTGGCATATAAATTTACACCTGATCATAGCTAAAAGGCTGAGAAGCAATAAGTTCTATACATAATTTTGCACATACAGTTAAATCTGGTGAGCACATCCAGGTCTGGTGGTTGAGTCATGTTTTCACAATAGTGTAGGTTTTCCCAACGCTGTAAAATCTAGGACTACAAATTGATAGAACGTTAATTAGGAGGTAATTAGTTACATATTTAAGAAAAACAGGGCTTTGTAAAAGGAAGTTATATAGTTTAAAATTTTAGAATAAAATGTAATTTAATTACAAAAAGCAATTTCATATCAGAATAGCTACGTGAGGAGCTGAGGTCTGATTATCTTTTCAGAGGTTTATTGTGTAAGAATGCTGCATTAACAGAGTGATCCCAGGCACTGACATACTTGCATTTGTCTCTAGGTCGCCCCTCCCTCTGTGAAGCTGCCCAAGGAGATAGCTAGGAAAGAAAGCCTTTTGTGCAAGTTGCCAAAGCAATACAACATTCAGAGGACTTCATTACCTCTTCGTATATCTTCAATTTTTCGGTATTTAAATCATTGTATTTTGTTCCTTGAATATTAAATGTTGTTGTTTTTTTTCTCTCTAGAGTTAGCTACACATTCCACATATAAAATATCTAATGGTTTGTGCAAATTAAGAGACTACATTCTTAGGAAGAATCATGTAAGAGCATGGTACTTGAGATTGGAAAACTTAGATCAAGTCCTAATTGATCTCACTTACAATTGTAAAATTTACATCTCTGGGCCTCATTTTCCACATCGTACAAGACTCTTCTTCCGACAGTAACATTATGTGATTTCGGTTATTTACATGTTATAGGACTGGATGAATCTTTTCCAGATATTTTTACTGACAAGTGATCAAATCTGGGATTATTTGGCTGTTTAAAGATGTTTATGTTTACTCATTATAACACCTTTCTTTAAAAATGTTTTGATTTCTGTTAAGAGTAGGAAAACTGGGACCACAGCCAAAGAACAGTGGGGCATGGGCACTATTTACTTTCTAGGATAAATTCTATGCCACAGAGGTATGTTGTTTAAAAGAAACAAGGTGAAAATTGCGGGGTGAAGAATATGGAGCTCCTTACCAATTGAAAGTTCTTTAAGAAAGGTTCTTAGGACGTTCAGGTTATTGATCGGGTTGACTATTTTAAAATGGTATTTTATGTTTTTTCTTTACTGCTTTGTGATGAGGCTGTTTCTTTGGCAGGAAAAAGGAAATGCCTTCTAACCTCTACCTCACATTGTATGAAGAAGTACCCCATGGATATTTATACGCAGAAGAATTAAGTGGTAATAAGATTGCTTAGAATTTTTTGAATAAATTTTCCGATTATATGCTTTCTCCCTAGTTACTTCTCTTTGTCTACTCCTAGTGGCTTACAGTACCAGTTAATATTACTTTATATAGCAAATGCTTCAGGCCAGGAGAAAGCTAAAGCAGATAGTGTAGTCCATAAATATCTTTTGTTGTATTGATTGGGGTCAGAAAATATTATCTATGGGAAAAGTATATATATACTTCTTTATTTCAGCTTATATATTTTGGAAAAATGGAATTACATAAGATATATAACTTAGTAAGCACTAGAATAGCTGGTTTCACTGGAATATAGTCCTTGATACCTTAATATTAAGGTTTAATGACCCTTTACTTTTTTATTTTCAAGAGAGTAGTAAAAGAAAAAAAAAAGGACAATAGCAGCATACCAACATCACAAACATAAACAAAGCAAAGTAAAGCAAGCACATTAAAAGTGATACAGGGTTTCAAAACAAAATGATAGGAATTAACAGTGGTTGTTATATTACATATTGTTATCTTCAACTACATTGTTCAGATTGCCAGATGTAAGAATGGAAGATTGTTCAAACCATTAAAGCGAATAAAAAAATACTTATTAGATAAAACATTAGAGATAATACAGAGTTTCACTAGACAGGATGGTAGGAATTCACCAATGGTTGTTGCATTGCATATTGTTGTCTTCAAATCAGTTGCTGAGATTACCAGACACAAGCATGCAAAATTGGTCAGCGTATAAAATATTTTAAGCATTAACTGTTCCTTTCAATATACCATCAGACATCAGCAGTATAGTTATCCCAGCTATTCTCTCTATACATATATATCTATATATTTATATATCTATATCTGTATCTATTTTGCCTGCCTTCTTTTGGTTTTCTTCTTTCCCTCATCCCCCAAAATTCAAATCCCTTTGAATTTTGGGGGCCTTATTTTTTTTTAATTCTTTGTATGTCCTAGATAGAAGTCCTTTGTCTGAGGGACAGTTGGCTAAAATTTTTTCCCAATTTGTGGGCTTTCTTTTTACTCTATTGATGATGTCTTTTGATGTGCAAAAACTTTTCAATAAGATGATATCCCAGTTGTTGATTCTTTGAAGTATTACCTATGCAGTTTGGTTTTTGTTCATGAACTCTCTGCCTACCCCTATGTCTTCAAGATTTTTACCTACTTTCTCTTCTAATAGATTTAGTGTTTCTATCTTAACATTTAGATCTTTAAGCCATTTTGACTTAATTTTGGTGCATGGTGATAGACTTGGGTCTAGTTTTAGTCTTTGGCGTGTGGAGAGCCAGTTTTTCCAGCACGATTTATTGAAGAGGCTAGCTTTCTTCCAGTGTATATGTGTGGCCCCTTTGTCAAAGATAAGGTGGCTGAGAGTGCTTGTAGCTGTGTCAGCATCTTCTAATCTGTTCCACTGATCTTCAGGTATGTTTTTGTGCCAGTATCATGCTTATTTTATCATAGTAGCTTTGTAGTATAATTTCAATTTGACCTTTACTTTTTGACACTGACCTTTCTCATCTCTTGGGCTTTTCCTATATTTTTATGAAGTAATTTGCCATATTTTTCTTTCTCTCTTAACTCTTGTCATCATATTAGCTATCTTTAGTGTCCAAGTGGATGACTCATGTACTACTCTAGCTTCATATTTTTCAAAATTAATTATTTTACCTTTATTTGTCTAACTAGCACTGATGTCCACCAATTGAACATTGACATCATGTTGAAGTATGAGACAGTCTTATTCTCTGCTTATCTCTTACGCTTGCAACTTTCTTCATTTATAGTTTTATTTCCTTGACCACCTCATTTGGTTGGTGATGCTCTGATTTTTAACTTTCCCTACCTTTAGCACAGTTGGGATTCCCTGTAAGATTTGGCCAGATGTCTGTCCTGTTTCCTTTGATGCCTTTCCAAGCCTTCATTACTTTCTTCAAATTCTCAACCCTATCTTCTTTAGTCACATTAAATGTTTGTTTGTTTTTCATTTTTGTCAGTAGAACTCATTAGCAGATCTTTTAAAAAATTTTATTAGTACACTTTAAGTATATATAATGATAGTATTCATCATATGGAATTTGTACGTGCACATGATATATCTTCATTGTTTTTCCCCTCTCCTTCCCCATCCTTCAACAGTTTTTCCCCTGCTTATTTAAAAAAGCTTTGTTTCTATTTTTTTTGCTCCTATTTTCTTTTTTTCACTTTCTCTTCCTTCCTTTCACCCTACCCCCTCCGTAGTTCCCCTTCCTACTTGAACATTTTCTTCCTTTTTCACAGTATCTGTTATACATTTTGGTCCATATTTACACTTTTGGTTTCTGACACCAGAGAAATCATGCCATATTTGAATATGTGTGTCTGATTTATTTCATTTAAGGGTATGTTCTCAAGATAAACCGTTTCCCTAAAAATGTCTTAAGTTTATCCTTCTTTATGGCAGAGTAGTACTCCAGTGTCAAAACCCACATCTTCTTTATCTGTGCATTTGCTGATGGGTATTTGGGCTGTTTTCAAGATCTAGCTATTACAAACTGTGCTGCTACGAATATGGGTGTTCATCTATCTCTATTGAGATGCTTTTAATTCTTTCAGGTGGATACCAAGAAGGGGAATAGCTGAGTCAAATGGAACTTCTAGTTTTAGTTTTTTGAGGAATCTCCACATTGATTTCCACAGTGGTTGCATCAGTCTGTACTCCCACCAACAGTGGAGAAGCATTCCTTTTTCCCCACAGGCAAGCCAGCATTTGTTATGGGTTGATTTCTTGGATAATAGCCATTCTTTCTGGAGTGATATGGAATCTTGTGTTGTTTTAATTAGCATCTTGTGAATGACTGATGATGTTGAAAATTTTTTTGATGTTGATCATTTTTTAATATATTCATTTGCAATTTCTACTTCTACTTGAGAGGTGTCTATTGATTTCAGATGCCCATTTTTGGAGTGGGTCTTTAAATTTGGGGGAGTTCTGATTTTTTTTGAGCTCTTTATATATTCTAAATATTAGCACTTTGTCTGAGGAACAGCTGGCAAAAAGTTTTTCCTAGTCTTTGGGTTGTCTCTTTACTCTGTTGGTGGTTTCTTTTGCTGTGCAAATCTTTTTAATAAGATGAAGTCCCAGTTGTTTATTCTTTGTGATATTTCCTGTGTGAGTGAGGTTTTGTTCAGAAAGTCTTTGTATATACCTATGTGTTTGGAGTTGATTCTGCACATTCCAGTCTATTTTATTGAACCTTGGGTCTGTTTGTTTGTCAGTACCATGCTGTTTTTATCACTGTAGCTTTGTACTACAATTTCAAGTCAGGGATTGTGATGCCTCCTGCCTTGCCTTTGTTGCCCATGATTGACATTGCTATTCTAGGTCTGTTCTGGTTCCAAATGAATTTTAGGATTGTTTTCCCTAATTTTGTGAGGTATGCTGTTGGTATTTCATTGGGATTGTATTAAATCTATATAACAAATTTGGGAGTATGGCCATTTTCACTATATTGGTTTTTCATACCCAAGAGCAAAGGATATCCTTCCATTCTCTGATACCCTCTTAAGTTTCCTTTTTCAGAGTGCTATAGTTTTCAATGTAATATCTTCTACTTCCTTCATCAGACTGGTTCCTAAGTATTTCAGTTTTTTGATGCTATTGTGAAAGATGTGGGTTCCCTAATTTCTCTCTTATTGAGTTTGTTATTTGTGTTCAGGAATGCTATTGATTTTTGAGTGTTGTCCTTGTATCCAACCATGGTACTGAATTTAGTTATTAAATCTAGAAGTTTTTTGGTGAAGTTTTTGGGGTCTTCTATTTAGAGTGTCATCTCATCCTCAAAACTAATATTTTAACTTTTTCATTTGCTATCCTTATTCCTTTTATTTCTTTCTCTTGTCTGATTGCACGGATGTTTCCAGAACTTGAATAGGAGTAAAGATAGTAGACATCCTTGTCTTGTTCCTGATTTTAGAGTGAAAGCTTTCAGTTTTTGTCCAGGTAGTATGATGTTGGCTGTTGGTTTGTCATGGATGACTTTTATCAAAACAAGATAAAGACCATCTATTGCAATTTTGTAAAGTTTTTTTTATCATGGGTGGTTGTTGGGCCTTTTCTGATGCTTCTTCTTTATCCAGATTAACATGTGGTTCTTGTCCTTTACTCTGTTAATATGGTGTGTTACATTTATTGATTTGCATATGTTACACCCTACCTGCACCCCTGGGATGAATCCTACTTGGTCATAGTGTATAATCTTCTTGATGATATGCTGCATTCTGTTTGCCAGTATTTTATCAAGGATTTTTGCATCTATGTTCGTTAGGGAGATTGATCCATAGATGTCTTTTTTCGTTGGATCCTTCTCTGGTTTTGGTATGAGCTTTTTTCCAGGAATGAGTCTGGGAGTCATGCTTCCCTTTCACTTTCATTACACAGTTTGAGGAGTAGTGGTATTAGATCTCTTGTAATTTTCTTATATAATTTAGCATTGAATGTGTCAGGGCTGGTGCTTTTCTTTGTTGGTAGGTTTTTAATTACATGTTCAACTTCATTGGCTGATATTGGGTTATGTAGGATCTTTCTATCTTCTTGACCCAGCTTTGGTAATTCATATGTATCTAGGAATCTGTCTACTTCTTTTGTGTTTTCCATCTTATTAGAATACAAGTTCTTGAAGTAGGTATTGATCTTCTGGATTTTTAAGGATTCATTGTGATTTCAGCCTTTTTATACCTAATTGCATGGATTTGAGTCTTCTCTTTCCATTTTTGGATAAGGTTGGCTAAGGGTTTATCAATTCTATTTAATATTTTTTGGGGGGTGTACTGGAAATTGAACTCAGGACCTGTGGTTACCAGGCAGGTGCTTGTGCCACTGAGCTATATCCCTGGCCCTCCTTTATTTTTTCAGAGAACCAACTCTTCACTTGATTGATTCTTTGTATTGGTTTCTTAGTCTCTTTTGCATTAGTTTCTGCTTTATAATTTCCTCCCTCAT